CCCCGGCTATCGCCCGTGGCCACGAGATCCTGAGCCCGAGCAAGCTCCTTTCTTACCGCGCGGGCATCTCACTCACTCCTGGTAACTCTGCCTCCGAAAGATAGCCAACAACCTGGACTGGTGCAGAAAAAGACAATCAACAGCTCTAGCAACGGGAAAGCTTTTCAGATACCTTAATCCTCGACTAAAGGCTTACGCCTGCTGCGAAGTTGAACGCAGCCCTGTCTCTTCCTAAGAAGTGCTTAGGAATAAACAAGACGACCATCGACATTTTTAACATTTTGGTGTAATTTATTGGCACAAAAATATTCAAATACAACATGGCATCTAAACATGGCTACTCTTTGTTGTATTTTGTGCATTTTGTTTTTAATATGTTTTATTCATAAATCATAACTTTATCCTCACCCTCATGTTTAATAACCATTATTTTCTGTTTCAAGTTATTACCAGTCCTCCCCACTTCTGCCTCTTAGGCTGCTTATTAACTTTTCCCTAGTTATTTCCCAATACTGCTTTTTAATCCAGACCCTGTGGGAAGCTCCCAAGTGGTATTTCAGTGATACCCTGCATCCGCTTTGCCACTGATCAGTCCATATAGAGGCAGGCACCTTACTGCGCTTGGCTCGAGGTCTTCAGCTCTTGGATTTGCTCCGATATCCCAATCTAGTCTGAAACATGACTCCTCTGCTAATGTAATAAGCCGATAAATAATTTTCAATTTGGGGGCAAGAATCAAATTGGAAAACAAGGTAACAGGATGGTGCAACTCTCCTTCTCCTCGCTTTCGCCCCAGTTTTCCAGCTCAACTCCAAACCTAAGCGAACCCTGCTGCACGAGTGCACTGAGTTCACTGCAGCCACGCCAACAGGATTGATCAGGGCAATAATTAATCCGCAAATGACTCAATTTAGTTACATTGCAAAGTCAGTCAAAACCCGTATATAGTTATTTTCAATGGATCACCAGTTCCCCAAAGACCAAGTGGAACCATAGACATCTGTGGTACAATCAGTCTTCACTGTCCTGGAAACCCAAATCAAGTGTTGTGTTTTAGACAGCTTGTGTTTTTCAAACAGCAGCTATAAATTGGCTTAAACCAACTTTTAATATACAATAACTCTTTTCATTTACAGTTCAAAATATTTGACAAAGGCTGTATTTCAGTCCAACTTTCTGTTTGTGTTTGTAGAAGAGTAAGATTGGAGTGCAAAAGCCTCCAGAATAAAAGGCTGTGGATACTTTGGAATCTTCTGCTACCAGAAAGGACACCTAAAGAAAACAAAGATATTGTAGTAGTGTTGTCTCGCATATAGTTTAACAAAGACAATGCTGAGAAGGACTGAAATTCCATACCGCCAAAGCACCTTTTAAAATATTTACCAGAGGAAAGTTGACTGGTGACTCCCATGCTTCTTTCCAGTTAACGCAACTCATGTTTAAAACACTACAAAGACCTGTTTCCTAAAACATCATCCCTCAAGCTAAGCCTCAAAACGACACATACTTCTATGTTTACTTTAGAACACGAGGTTCTTCACTGTAACCAAAATCAGTGATGGAGACGCACCTAGAACACCTTATTGCAAACACTTAAAACATTTGGGCTGACGTTTGGACGCACATTTAAAGGTTCAAAAATCCCCCCCATCACCTATACCAACTTACTTGCTTACAGCAGAGGGCCCTGCTACAGGCCTGCAAAATCTACCAGAGCAGATGCAACATCGGGTAAGGCTCATATATGTAACTCAGTACACAAGAAGTGACATTTTCCTTAGCTGCTCCCTGCTCAGATCATTCATTCCAGAATTTTGCAAGGTTAACTCAATGACAAACTCACCATCCAATGTAGCACTGGCAGAGATTCTCATGAGAAGTAGCTTGCTTAATGAGCAATTCTACTTGTGTGGGTACATCAAGAGTTTCATCATGAGAGAAGTCTCGACCTTTAAGATTAAAGGAAATAAAAACAGAAAAGGAAGTTACAGGTCAAGCAACAGAACTTGCTTTTGGGTGGCAAGTTAAGGACTGATTGGACTTCTACTACCGTCCCCTTATAGTGTGTGTAAGATGCAAAATTTTCAAAGATCGAGAACTTCTAAAGCTGATTAGAGTCCAGAAATCCATACTTTTTCCCTTGTCGTGGCTTCTTCCTTTAACTTCTCCTTCAAACAGTGGATAAGAAAATATTTGCGTTCTCCAATAACAGATAATTTTCCAGTAACTGGAGTCCTGGTCCTAATAGCTTCAAGTACATTATACGAGCAGGTGGGGGAAAGTTTCTTATGAACCCTTAGGAGTGTAAGATTTCACATCTGAACACTGCAAACTACAAAGCCTGGCCAAAGGAGAAATTTGACCTCTGTCAACAAGCTAAGACATTTAAAACACGAGTCTGTTTAAATGCAGTCAGCTCCGTATTTTATAGATCAGGCTCATTTGTACCCAAATTCCAGCACAGGCACAGGAGGCTTTTAGATAAAGGTAGGAAACGCCCTCCTCCAGTTATTCAGAATATTTTTAATTAAAGGATTAATACACAATCCAAATGCTAAAAGTTAGTGGCGAACCGTCTCAAATTTTACATAAAAATATGCTCACCAGTGAGTTTATCTCGAACTCTGTTGATAATCTGAATTGCTTTCTTATTCAGAGCTTCTGGCTTCACTAGACCGTCGCCTACTAAAAGATCAAAATAAAAAAAGAATTAAGACTTCATTTGAACAACAACAACGTTTTTCCTGCTATTACATCTGCCCTTCTCAACTGCCATTCTATGAACCAACAGTCCCAAATACTAGTATGTTTTCTGTCACCTTTTTTTGGAGCGGAGGAACAGGTACTGTATTTCTTATTTACGCTGACAAGGAACTGATTTCAGGTAGTTGTTTCTACATCAAGATGAAGTTTTCTATCTAAAAATAACTTCTGCATCAGTGTAAAACCAACACGATTCAAAGAAACTTACTGAAGGAATGGATGGATTCAGGCACTGTGGTCCCAGTTTTCTTGTGGGCTGTCTCACCCAGTTCCACGCTGTCCAACATTTCTATTGAAAAAACACAGAAACATAAAGGTGAAACGGAAAGGCAGGTAAAGTTACCATTCCTTTGTTAACGTTAACAGAGCTGTTCATCTGCTCCTTTGAAAAGCATATTCAACCGTCACAAAGTATACCGCATGTCTTTATCACTAATGGAACTGTACTATGGGAGTAAACTTTTTTTTGTGCTAACACACTGAAAGGCCCGATCCAACCTTCAGGAATGTTTTGTGTAAAAGCGTAATTGAAAGATATTTTGAAAAGACGCACAGTTAACCTACAATAGCAGTCAAGTAAGTATGTCTATTTACTGAACTCTCACTGTTCTTCAGTCCAATAGCAAACAGCTGTTAAGATTCAATGTAATGCTCTTAACATTCATTCAGATGACAACTCACCAGGTTTTGCATACTAATATTTAGTAGCTCAGTAAATAACTAGCACACACCAAATTATTCTGTGGATTACACCAGTTTGCGCGCGCTCTGGAAGGGTGTTAGTCTAACTGTAAAGCAGCATTTGCTTTTTGAGCTGAAGTACTGAACTCAACACTATTTATTTTACTCAGTTATACACACTCTTAAAACCAAGTAACAATAAGCTGCTTCTCTCTCTACTTTTGAGGAGAAAAAGAACTGAAAATACTTCTACCAGTTTTATGCACTGTTAAAAAAAACGCAAACATTCATGAAATGCATCATCTTTTATACTCACCTACTGACTGACTAGCTGAGTAGGAGTCTGTTCTCGTTCGTGAGCGCTTATTGCCTTTTGTATTTGCTGCAAGAAAATAAGAGAGTTGAAAAGTTTGAACTGGAGGCTCAGTATTTCACAGTAAATTTGTCTATCCACAAACAATACAGGCTTGATCATCTTTTTCTTTTTCCAAATTGTATTTTACCTGAAAATAGCTTTTCATCTCAAGACGACAGCTAATACTAAAGCAATCCACATGATGTGATTTGTCGCTTCAGTTCAATGTCTGTATTTAAGGGCAAAAGGGTTTTAACCACTGTGGTAACTTCACATTATGATTCCTAAAACTGGGTGTGTGCACAATCATTGCTTGCAAATCTACCGTTTAAATGGACTGACCTTCAACAGACATTCGATTTCAGGCCTTTGGATTTCTTACATGAATCTATTTTAATCTGACTGATGACTCTCCTGCTATCGTTGTTTCATCCGAATGACTTACTGTCCATCAGCCTCCAGTTCAATAAGGGATCGTATACAAAGGCTTCTAGCACAGCCATGACACTGTCCTTATGTTCGCGCAGGACTTCCATCACAGTGTGACAGGTGATTCTGTAATTGCCATCTAGGCCCGTCACCTTCAGAAGAGAAAGAAGTGAATCAATCACGCTGCTTCTTTCACTTTGCAACTCCAACCCTAACATTCAGGGAGCAGGAAAAGGCTTGTGCTTTGAACTGGAACCCGCTTCCACTGGACTCTATTCATTACGAGAACAAGATAGAGGTTCATACAATTTAAGAGGCTCCTTCCTTCTGATTTATTGGTGTACTGATTTGAGTAACGTGCATGTGACATCGAATTGATCACTGTAAAGTACCACGCTATTCGTGGTGTTTGGTTGACACAAAGAGCTATTTGAAATGAGGAAACTATGGAAGACCCGAGAAAATTGGAAAAATTTTTGGTTTTTTGCATCAGTGAGAAGTTGCTTTCCACAGTAACGTACTGTAAAGATGGCAGCAGATATTTTAACTTACAGAAAATGAAGCTGAAATATTAAGACCTCTGCTTCTTGCAGGAGTCTCGGAGAGATCCAACCACAACAAGAAAGTACAGGAAAAAGGGAGAAATCAGTGCCATTTTCCCAGGGAACAATTCTCTTCGTATCAGAGAGGGGATACTTAACCTCCATAGCATTTGTCAGCATCCTTGTTAACCGAAACGGAATCTTCTCCGGGAACTTCTCTCTTGTCATTGCAACCTACACACACAACGGTGGACAATTATTAATAGCTAACTTATTATTTAAGAGTTAATAAGCACTGTGGTTTTCTTTGCTACGACCTTAAAGGTTGTAATTACAAATATGAAATATGTAATATGTCCTAGATTAACGTTCCTCAGTTTCCAGCAGTTTTTAGGAGAAGCTGGATAACTGACTTGATTACACAAGGAAAACTCAATTGTATGCTCATGCTGCTAGTGTCATGTAACACAGGCTGCTATCAGCAGCTTAGATTGCTCGAAGAAATTGTATTGGAAAAGTGATGTTAGCACTTCTTTGCTTGCCCCAGAGTAGTTAGATAATCCGCATGACACCCCTCCCCCCGCCCCCCACCCGAGATAAAGTACATATTAATTTCTTTTGCCTGTGGGCAAAGTGAAGCCCAAAAGAGAGCCAAAAGGCTTGCTCAGGATCACACTCCAAGGTCAGCTTGCCCTGGCTTGTAGATTAATTTCTGTTGCACCAGATGATGTGAAATATTGCAGAAATATACTTCCAAATACAAAAATTTACCTCAAAACAGTCCCCAAAGTCGATATGTAGGATCTTTCCACTCAATCTGTCCAACATCAGATTGGAAGGGTGTCTTTGATGAAGGAGTAGGAGAAAAGCCAGAGTGACAGATCATTAGAAAAACGTAAATTGAATCACAGCTCTAGTCTGAACTGATATTTATCTTCACGAACGAGAACAACCAGTGGCAGCATGCCTGTCTGAGATCTTCAATCTCCAGATGAACAGAACAGCTTCCTGACAGTGCATCTATCACATTATCTTTGTAATTACCTCTCAGGATTACCAGAGATGATCTCGCCTTGGAAGACAGACAATTAATTGGACCAGAGCCATCAGTACATGCCTTGGATTTGAACATTTCTTTTTCAGTTAGGATAAATGTTTCTACTTCTTTTACTTTTAAAACATTTTTTCAGTAGAGAAAAAGAGTGAATTATGCTACAGATAAAGTAATGCAAATTGGATTATTACCAGAACAGAAGAGAACCAATCTAGACTAGGAGAAACCAAGATGCTGTTATTCATGCTGCCTTGGTCCAATTCTGATTTAATCCAACTTTCAAAGGTTTATACTTGCGATATAAAAACCTTTAAAGTCAGGAATAAAAAGCTGCTATTACAAAAACATTTGAGAGGTCTTCAAAAGTATTTTGGAAATTATGATGTCCCCTTTTTACAGTAAACCACATAGTAAGATCAAATAGCTTACTCATTTTATCTTTTTTTTTTTTCATTATTCACCCAATCTCATTTATGATGCCTACTTCCCTCCAGAACATGTCTGCATAGCAGATTAGAAAAGGCTTCGTGTTAAGCAGTATTCAAAACCCATGTTAACTTCCATTTGTTTTCAGTTATACATCTAGAGAGGTCTTTAGGCGCTACGCTTGGGGATTTCATGCATCTGTGACAATTGCTGTCAACAAACATAGCACTAGTTGTTCCTGCCTCACAGAATAAATATCCATCAGGCAAAAATGTGTGGAAAACAGTATTATTCAGCCCATTAGGAGGAAGAACCAAGAGACACCTGACCCTCAATACTTGCTGGATTTCTTTTTGCTACTTCAGAGGATAAGAAGTGCTGCTTGATAACAGTGATTTTTTCCTCCTCCAAGAAGCGGGAGATACGTGTACAGTCCTGACAGACACTGCGAAAAACTGCAATCTCATAAGCATGAAGCACACAGAAACCTACAGACTGGCTGCAAGAGTCAGAAGCACACAGAAGCCTACAGACTGGCTGCAAGAGTCAACACTACTTCCGTTTCACAGAAAGGATGGAGAACAATTTCCCATTCTGTGAGTGGGAGAAAGGCCTGAATTCAAACTTGTGGCTCTTGACCTAATTTTGTGTATATTCCTCCCAAAACGGAAGAAACTTATTTGTACTCAAGATACGCAAATCCTACACCTCATTCCCGCACTGCCGAATATCATGGTGGCACGGTTAGGTCCTGGAAGATGCTATCATTACAACTCAGCTACATCCACGATAGAAGCTGTTAGCATAAGAACAGAGCCAGGGATTAAATTGATAGGTATACACAGTCTCTGCTAGCGTTTAAAAGAAATTCCCGCAATTCCACTTACCTATCCCCAAGGCCCAAAATGTACCCAACCATTGACATCACAGCTAGTGAGCGAGTGTAATTAGTTCTTCTGTCAAACCACACCTACAAGCAGAGACAAAATAGAAAAAAGTAAAGAGGGTGGCAAGGAGTTGGCTTGCTTAACCTATTTCTGTTTCTTAAGAACAATTCCCAAAACTTCAGAAGGGTACCTGCAACAAAGCCAGATAGACGTTTCATGCTTCAGTTTATATTTTAATTTATACAATAACCAGTTGGGTTTTGCATGAAGCCAAACTATTATATACTTAGGTCAATAAATGCCATAGCCTGAGGGGGTTCAAACAACCCTAAAATTAGATGCGTTAAGCCATTAAAGGGGAGCGATTTCAGATGCACTCTTCCTTCCACTGTATTATGTTGACTGATATCAATAGCCCAGCACACCCATAGTCGCAAACATATTTCAGGCTCCTGTTTATGTCTCCCCATGCACAATAATCTTGTGCTGTGGACCGGACTCTGGCAGCCAGTGTGACTGCGCTCTAAAATGCCCCTTGGTGGATACACGTGCTTCAGGGATTAATTTGGAGTTTAAGATGTGCAATTCACCCACCTCTCCCACATTCTGCAGAGAGGGCAGTTGCATGTTATGCTGATTGCCAAACATAAGCCTTTACATGTGCTGAACTCACCTCTGAGCTTGGACTTTTCAACCACAGTAGTTTGGCAAGGTCATCACCAGCTGTGTTATTGACAGCATGTTCAAATACTTCTACCTTCTGCATCAAAGTCAGGTGGTCATAATCTGGAGCCATCTATAATTGAGAAGTGAAACTCAGCAGCTAAAAATCCTCCTATGATCCCTGGTTATAATGTGAGAAGCATGGTAGTCACAAATAATTTAAAGATCAAGTCGGTATGAAATTATTATTTGCAGACAGACTAGTATGTTCCCAACACATGCATCAAGATGACTAGTCAGCAGTGAAGAATTCATTTGAAACGTGATAGCAAATGATTCAACATGCACAGAATATTTCATAGCCATATGTAATTAAAATACTGCTGAGCTAAATATGTTTTGAAGATAGTTTCCAAATACATCCTTCTGGGTTGGCACACCCTTTGCTTATTGGCAGGCAATTCCAACTTTTCTAGTGATGTTCAGTTTCTCCAGTCTGTCCAATTTTTGGCCTTGCCGCTTAGACACAATGTTTGTAAATGCCAGCAGCACGGCACCTTGTGTGAGGTGCACCACATTCACGCCAAACTCCAAACACATTTTAGTTACCAGATGGTAGCAACCTGGGGCCACTGCTAAAACAGGAAAGGAGAGACAAATAAACTTATGGCCAATTTTACCCTTTTGTAGTATTTTAGAATTTTCATCTGATATTCTTGTATTTACTACTGGTACCAATAACAACCAGAAAACAGGTAAAGGAGGAGGAGCCTGTGCACCGCTATTCTTCAGTAAGCACTGGAGTCCTAAAAGACTGTTCCAGAAAATTTGCGAGCTTTGCCCTTTACCCTCAGCATGATGCGATGTTCAATATTGAGCAGGATCTTCTTCTTCTCTCTGTAGTCTCGGATGAGTGCGTGCAGTGTGTCACAGTGGGGGACCCAACCAATCAAGCCTGAATTTGTAGACAGTGGAATAACAGCATATCTCTGGATGCTACAAGAAAAATGGAGAATCAGAGCTCAAAGTGTTGTATGTTATGAATTATTACATTTCAAAAGGCTTAAAACTACCACCATGAAAACCTGCCTCTGATCCAAATCGTCTTTTCAGTACTTGCCCTGTTTTTCTTTTCTTCAAATAGAACAGGAACATCCATCTGCATAGACTGCCGTCAGATGCAGATACTCTAAGGACATATTGTCGAAGCTTATGCGGTGTTCACTGAAGGACCACTTTTAGAAGATGCCCGTTAGGTCACTCACACCAATTAGATCTATAATTTGCACAAGATATTTGATGTGTTCATGCTTGAAACACAGTGTACACCGACTACTCATCAAACGACTATTTAGTGGCTGTAATAAGAAGTCCTGGACAAGAAGTCACAATTTCACAAGATTTGCACTTCCCGAAAGGAGGATTATAGTCTATGGTATAACATGAGTGCAGCAGTTGCTAGGGCCTAGTAAGCCAGGAAGACTGTTAATACGTCTGCTCTCAGGCTCCTAGGCCAGTACAGAGGTTATCTGAAAGACTATGACTAGGCACTAAACGAGACCTGAACTAAAGAAAACAAACAACCTCTTCAGGATACATTTCACTCAAATTTGACTTTTATGAATGCCATTTTTTTGTTTGTTTTTAAAATGACCTTAGTGCCAAGATCCAATCCCTCACAAACCAGCTGGTTGTGCCGAGGGTTACTTGGAAACCGCACCTACGTAGGACGTCACTTTTGCACAAGCAGGTTCAGCGGTTAAATCAGTCCCACGCACCTGAGGTTTTTACGAAGAGAAGTTGGGTCATTCGCTAGCAGCGTATTAACCAATCCAAAAAGCTGCATCACTCTTTCATCTTGACGAAGGTCCTCGTGACCTTTCAGAAGGAATACAAACTCATGCCCATTGCTTCCTGCGAAAGAATTTATAGGAGGAAAGTTTACACCTGCTGAACAACTAGTGAAAAAAAAATACATGGGCACCCAAGAACCGGAAAGCACAGCAGTCAGACTAACCAGGCTACCTGAAAATGCCTTGTCGGAAAAGAAACGTCGGAGAAGTTTTACCTAATAAACATGCAGTTTGAATGAAACGCAACAACTGTTTAAATACTAGAATAGCAAAGTGAAAACTGGTATCTCTTACCCATTAATGTTAATTTCCTGGGCCGCTGCTTGGAGGTGATAACCTGCAGTGAGGGTGCAATGGACTGAATGCGGATGATGGGCTGGTTGGGATCATACGTGCCTGGCACTGCCAGTTCCAGGTCTCGGCACATTAAGAGTTTTGGTGATACGTACTGTAGTTCCAAAGACGTGAGCTACCAACAACAAAAGAAATACAACCCCCCCAGCATTTCAGTTAAATCTCACTGAAACATCTGAAGAGGTTCATACTGTAGAAGGGGCCTAAAACAGTCCACAGTCAGCCATCAATACTTCAGTTGCTTGCGGGAAGTGCTGCATAAGCCGCAACTTTGCAGCTTATGCAGCTTCTGAACAAATCCTATGCAGGTATTTCCAGAATACCAAACGTAGATATCTCGAATAAGCAGAAAAATCAAACAAAAACTGGTATTGACAGCTTACACTGTAAAGACCCACAACAGAACTGCACCTCTCCCCTCACCTGAGGCAGTTGCTTTGAGATACGCCTGAACACGTGGTAATAGAGATCCCAAGCCTGGGTCAGGTCTTTCACATTTCCTGATTTCATGTACTTCCTGCACCATTCCTGAGCTTCCATTAGATCTCTGCCATAGGCCTAGGGAAGAAGTGAGAGGGGGAAAAAGAAAGAAAACAAACAAACAAGCAACAACAAAATCCGCAAGTGTTTCTATAGACTACAGTGGAACAGGTGCAGACCGCTTCATACCTACATAGAGCATCATGGTCTGTGTTAAAATTACATTATAAATATTTGATCCCACATTTTTATAGCACCTCTGAATTAAGAGTCCAGGAATTTCTGGCTCTAAGACCTGTACTGAGTTTATTAGGCAATGTTACTCACAAAGGGGCTTCACGACAGGAGGCAGCAGAAAGCATAGTATCACCCTTTAATAGGAGACTCAAGCTCAAATGAATTCATTTTGCTGCCTTGAGAAAGGTCATCTCTACTATCTGTGCTGTGGCTGCTATGACGCAAAGTGGTCTTCAGTTAAAAGGATTAACTGCAAAGCAGTTGTATGTTTTCCAGGCCCCATATGACACCCAGCCGACATAAGACTCCAGAGCTATCCATACTATTAATGCCCACATAGTGCTGCAGTCACAAAAAAAAAAAAAAAAAAAATAGAAATCCAAAGATAAAGATCAGTAATAAAATCCGCAGCTAACATAATTAGTTCCAAGAGCCTCACTCTTTTTGTTGGATTGAAAAGGTCCTTGGAACACATCTGGGAAAGGTGGCTGTCCTGCCTGCTTTTGAGGGCAAAGAGAAGATAATGCTCGCAGCCTTTTCCTGATACCTGATTGAAGGACGTCTCTTTTAAAGTCTGAGGCCCGCGCTCCATCATTGCATGAAGTGGTTCCAGCACCTCAAACATTCCCTTCACGTTCCTTTCTCCAAAGTATAGACGAGATGCTTCTTCCAACCCTTCATGCCACATCTCGTGCCATAGGATGGCTACACGGATTAGCTCTTCACTCACCTGTTTCCACATAGGGAAAAGGATTAGCTACCAGAAGAAAAATGCTATGACTACATACACTGACGTAAAAATGCAAAATTACCTTCTTCTCCAAGGATTATGAAATATTTCTTGCTGACCGCTAGAGGGAGCCACAAAAACTTCCCCAATTGCATTACACATTTTTCTGCAAAAAGCTGACCAGACTTTTCTCACGCTATTTGTTGCCTTTGAAATAGTAAATATATTTGTGTAACTTGGTCTGAAGACATCACTTTTCATTCATTCATAAAATCTTTAGCAATTTAATTACTTTTTCCATGTTAGGCACAGTAAGATTTGTTTCCACTTCTCATTAAGCAAAAATTTCTTTGTGGAATAACGTTCCTTCATGTATTCCTTCTCTAATTTTATTCAGAGGACACACAAGAACGAGTGACTGTTACGGTCCTTTTTATATAACGGATTTTCTTGAAATTATATACTCTAGTACTATAATATCTCCCCAATACAAGAATACAAAATAATTAATCGTACTTGAACAAAATTAACACTGAACAGTCATTTCTAGTTTAGTGAGGGAGGGGTGTTTATGAAAACCACAAACTTAATATACTGGTGATATATCCATTCCTGAAACGCAATATACCTTATGGTAGATAAAGCACTCACCATCATTGCCTGCTGCACCAGAGTGTTACTGTGCTCACACATGTTTTTCAAGATCTTATTTGCAGCATTGTGACGTGCAGTCGTCGTGGATTTAGAGGCCACAGTCAAAGGATAAATCAAAGCCTATAGTGACATCAACCAATAACATTTTAAAACCATGCAGGAGAGCTACATAAACTGAAAGACTAGCAAAACAATAAATGGTAGTCTTAGGGCAGGTCAAGAGAAAGAAAGCCTGCTTCTTGAAAGAGCTGATAGGAATTCGCTATTCAAACTGCTACAATCTGAAAAGCTCACTAGATTTTGATTTGCCGAGTGGATGTAACAACTTTAAAAGCTCGTGTCAAACGGGAAGAACAGGAAATTCTCTCTAGCCTATTGTGATTTTCCCCACCGTGGGAAGAAATTCAGATAAAATATCTGTGGAGAGTCGCTGCCTCTTAATAGTCACTGAATGAAGTTAGATTTAAAAAGGTGATTTTCACTATCCAGCTTCCTAGTAGAAAACTGCATGGCTCATCTGTCCCTCCTGTCCACCTTTCCTGTGAACAGGGCTGAGATGAAGGAAGGAGAAGCAAAAACGGTCCCCATCTCCCCCTGCTGTGACTTTCACTGTAGACAAGTATGGCAGGCGAAACAGAGCATAAAGGAAACACCTTAATTGTTTACGAGTTGACGGAAAATCCTCCTCCAAGCCAAAGCTTACCTGGGGATGGTACCGTCCAATATCTGTGAGGAGCTGGTGAATGAGACGTCCTACTAAAGGTCGAGGGGTGTCAATTCTTGCAATGAGCTGAGGGATAACCTAATAGGAAGGATACAAAAAATAAATACTGCAGTCATCTCATGCTTGCAACTCACAAGCTGTTCTGCCCTCTGCCAGAGGCCTCACGGTCTCTGAAGGACATAGGGAGACCCGTAACTCATTTTTGAACTAGTCAGAGGATAACACAGCAAAGTTCTAAACTGTGTCAGAAACACAGACCAGGTGGGCAGGAGGACAAATATAACGTGCAAAACTACTACAGGATGCTCCGTATATTCATGCTCAAGTAAGTAATCAAGGCATTTTTACAAAACTCATTCTGCTAAGTAATCTCCAAATAGACTCAGTCTGAATTACATTAGAGCAGCTCAGAGATGTTTTATACTTGCTTGCCACTGAATATATGTCACCTCTAATTTTAAAATCTTTACTCTTTCTCATTTATGTGCAGTAGTTGCATATAAATACAGAAACGCATGCAAGAATACTACTCCTGTCTCTGTTCAAGATGCTTGTTAAATAAGTTATAAGTTGTACTCCTAACATACTGCTCTCATCACTCACCTACAGAGGATTATTTGGCAAAGGACCATTACAGACATTACAGTCACAGATTCCCAAGCTCCCTATAGAACTGGGAGCTGTCCTAGCCTTTTGCGTTCCTTACCTGCAGCCAAGTATCTATCTGGATTGCCTTGACTCCTTCAACCAAAGCCTCGTTCACATCAGGCCAGTGACCATAGTCAAACCACAAAGTAAGGACCCTGAAAAAACAAAAACACACATTCATCAGGAATGAAATAAAACATTCCAGTCAAATATCTTCAGATCCATTTACAACAGACTCTTCTTCCAAGAACCAAGAAACAGGATAAGCATGTAGGAACATAAACTACCTTGGACTGAATATTTAGGAGTCACTCAGTTTAGCCATGAAACAGGAAAAAAAAAAAAAAAAAAAAAAAGCAGAAGGGGGTTATACCGAATTTTAAAGCATGCACTTAAAGCACACTCCCCTATCAGCTGGATTTTATTTACTGTGTGCTGTAATATATACCTTAGAGTGTCTTGTAGGTTGTTTCCTCGAGACATCAAGAGGGTCTTGGATAAATCCTTTCGGAATGAAAATTGCTGCGTTAGCTCTACACAACACTATCCATCCACGTGAATACTAAACTAGGCAAGGGGGAGGAGGGAGAACTATGCAGAAACATAGACCTAATTCACAGTACTACTGACTTCTGCTCGTGCTCCTTACAAGACTTGATATTTTGTTTTACGACACATATATCGCTCAGCCTGGCGGGGAATATAGTCAGAAGTCTTACTAAAATTGGCCAGAAATAGGGACAGCAAGGAAGACTAAAAACTACAATCCTCCCACAGCTGGTAAGTAAAAGACAGATTCCTGAGAGAGTCTTCTATCATGCAGTGCATATCACCCATGATAACTGTCTGTGACTTTGCTCTTAGTTCTCAGCTAACCTATGGTCATCTTCATTAATTTAGTCCTCTTAAGACTGAGTTAACCTGAACTTTCTAACCTTTGCTGTAAGCTGTGGGCATATATATAGACGGACAGCTTCCAAAAACCAAACACACACAGTAGCTTTTTCCCCACCGCACCTTTTCCTGTGTCTGAGCAATAAGTACCAATCTCTCAGCCTAATCAGGGAAGAATTGTACCTCAATGACTTTCTTCTGCACTGGAGATGGGATGGGGCTGTTCTCTGTGCTTTCTGCCTCACTCTCACTGTTGCTGCCCTCTGTGTTGGCGCTGGTGATGCTGGCTCCGCTGGCATGACGTAGCTTTTTCTTCTCATCTCTGGCCTGGTTCTGATGTTTGTAGTGAAGCACAGCTTCAAAGTTCATCACTGCCCACGCGTGCCAGGCCTGCCAAAAGAAGAGAACTTCAACAAAAATCAGAGGAAAGATGAATCCTTTCTGCAGCCTCTACTTTCTCTTGACTAGAGATGTAGCCCCAAGCTTTCCAAGTCCATGGACAACGGTAGTAAGTAACGCCCTGCAAACAACACAGTGCTTTGCTTTCTCTACCAATTGTAGTTTTAATTTCCTTATTACTTTGAATAACATCAGAGCAAGTACTTGGCCAACAGCTCCATGTTGGATATTGTGGCATCAAAGGAGCTCTGTAGCAAAATTTATGCCACATTCCATTCCCATAGTCCTTATTTTTTCAAAGTTTATAAAGAAGAAGAATATGTTAGAACTAGGGGAGGCTTTAGGGGACAAGATGAGGGCGAAGGTTACCCCAGAGAAGATCTAGCATCAAATATTATTTTAGAACCCTTAAGTCAAAGGCTCTTTGGACAGTTTGTCCTCCTACTTCAGTATATGAAGCAAGACTAGGTTAAAATATTTTCATTTAGATTACCCTTCCTCCTTCACTGTTAACTGACAGGAGAGAAAGTTCCAACAGTAAGACTAGCAACTAGTCTATCCAGTCAGATGAAATTCTAAACAACAGTCTCATGGTTGCTAGGGGCTGCCTTCTCGGTTTCTAACCCTACTCACAGTAACAAGGCAGAGAGTTATAGGGCATCTTTCTATCAACAACTTCCTTTCTTGTATTATGAGGTGTGGTCAGATTACTGATCTCCCTGCAACTGTGCCTTGATTCTTGTCCTTACTGACCTTGTACCAGTTGCGATCGTGTTCTGTTGCTGCACTGTAGTACTGCAAAACTTTGGGGATAGTGCTCTCATTGATGCCTTGGAGATTCAGCTGCCACTCACCCAGTTTCAGGAAACACCTGGTTAAGCAAAAGGATTATTGACTCTCAGACAGAACGTAGGATGAAAAGGAGGACTTCTGGATTAAGAGGTAGACTTCTTATCCAAAGCCTGAAAGACACTTTCGGTAAGCCTCTTCTGCAGACAGGCAGCTTACGTGGTAGCTTCAATAGGTAGGCTCCAAACACCCACATTGCATTTTTAAGCGCGAAGCAAACTAGCTAGCTAATGTTTTCATTCTTAGAGGGTGAGATAGGGATCAAACTTTGCTCCTCATTTATAGCCGTTATAAAACAAATTTAAGTAGTTGACAGGAATATAAAAAGACTTGACTGATAAAATGCACACAGCGTATGTGCTGGCTAGCTACACTTATCACCACATGAACTAGCCTGGAGAGAATACACTGTGACAACCAGCCAGTGGAAACACAGCAGAACTGCTCTCGGGCCACGCCAGAATCCCATTAAGTCATCCACTCCCTGAAGAAAGAAAAAGTATTTTCACTGCAGCAGGGTGGGGCTGCGAAGGGATGTGCAAAGCTTAATACTTCGCTCCTTCAGCAGGCTTTAAATACCACAGTTGCACATCTGTCCTTTCTATATTTTGCAGTTTCCAATAAGCCTTGTGCAAGAAAAATTTTGTGCATAACTCATCACTAACCTGCCTTCCAAGATAGTCACTATGAAAAAAAGCAAAACGATAGCTGTTATCAGGTTCCCAGTCTCATAAAAGAGAACGAGATGCATGGCTCTCTTTAAAAGTTCCCTTCAGCAATAAACACTATGCAATTTCTTATTTAAATGGGAAACGACAGAATCAATAAGGCACTCCTAGATATGTGGAGGAAAATGGAGATTATTAGATGTATTTTTAATGCAACAATATTTTAAGAGACTATCACATGCTGGGTACCCATTGCCCAAGGCACTGCTGTTATGCTGAGGGCACCGGCTGCCAAGTACAGACGTGCCAGGCAAACAGAAATGCTCCTTGCCTACTGAGAGGATCCCCTGAAAACCAAAGAAATAGTCATGCTGGGAGCTCTGCCTTCTGCCAATGAGCCACAGAGCAGGAAAAATACAACTAGTTGCCAGTGACAAATACGAGCTTGTTTACAATGATTTGCCACAATAACATTTACTGAAATCATAAATAGATAAGGATGTAATACTAAACTGGTCTCTACCAACTAAACAAGAAATATTCTGCTCCTCTCAAAATGGAGGTTTTGTCTGACATGCCTCATCTGCACAGACCCTGAAACCTCAGGAAAGACATCAGTGTCTCCATAAAGGTAAAGGGTCTCCAAGGACCAAGCGCTGACCGTGCCATGAGCTTGTGGAGTTCCTGCTTGTGCTGCTGGTCCTCAGTCGCAATAGCGTGCTGTGCCTGCTGCTGCATTGTCTGCACAAAGTGCTGCATGTGCTGGAACGCATCGATCTGTAATTGGATGACGACAAGGATCAGAACCATAGGGGTTAAAAGCAACCTCACAGGAGAGGAAGACAATGTGGAAATAAATTTTCACAGAAAGTAAAAGCTATAGTTTTCTTTTCTTTCGAAGCTTTTGAAACATTTACATCCCTCTGGAATCAGTTTATAGTCCTGGTCTGTAGCACCGAAAAGAGGTTAGAGATTCTTAACATCTTATAAATCTGCACACTGAATTGCTACGCTCAGGAATTAATAACTGCATCCTTCTGATGCTAGGTTCAGCTTCACGTCATTCACGCAGTCAAAAACATGACCAACCATAACACAAGCTAACATTGTGCTCTGATACACAAGAGCCCAGCTCTGGCAAAACAACAGGGTAAATTATATGAGGAGAAACCTTCAACAACTGTGTGAGCAGTAATGGCACGTTCTCTAAGTGAGACTCTCGTAATCAAATAGAGATGTCTCATTTGACTTGTAACCGAGCATATACATTGAAGGCAGTCCAGCAATCCCAACAATCTAACAAACGTTCATAGTTTACAAACTGTACCTGACCAAGTCAGTACCATAACAAACAGGATCACAGACCCCTAGAAGCTTGTCTGTAATAAGCTACGGCTTGAGAAAGCCAGTATTTTCTCAAAACGTTTAAGTGAAAATTCACAGCGCCCTGAGCTTCCCTCCCAGCTCCTGAGCTTTGTCTAGGTTTACAACGCACACCACAGGGTGTAAACTCGGAGGTGTTTCAACAAATGAAAATCTAGATTTCTCCTGAAATTGTTTAAGAAGTACAACTGTACATTGCTCCTTTGCCAGCAGATTACACAGGCAGCAGCGCTAAAGCAATTTACCCTACCAAATTCTGGGAGAAGACTCTTTGAAATTCACTGAAAAGAATTAAGGGGTAAGAAAAGCTCCAGTTAAAGATTTAGCAAAAGTGTGTATGCTTCACTGGAAACAATTAGAGTAAAGCTCTTGCAAACTGCAAGGTCGTCTCAGGTCAGAAACTGCACAATGTGCTACTAGGAGTCCAATTTACTTCTGCTCCGTATAGAGGAACGAGCCTCTTCAGAGAGAGAGACAAGAATCACTTGAAGTGGAATGACTCATCTGTCCAGTTCAAAGGTCAGCATGGAGTCAGCCATCAGGAAAAAGGTTTTTAGCCCAGCCCAGGGCAAAAGAAAGGAAACAATCACTCTAACATTAACGAGGGCATTCCACACCTAGTAACCTAGATCAATCAAGTGAACACGCTCAGTTATATAAAACTCTCATCTACATACATCACTAGAAATAGGTGAATATTCCTTAGGGAACTCAAAAGAGGACATAAGGATACCTCCTACCACGTAGTAGTTCTGGTACCAACACAGGAGAGTTCCCTACAGAAACATCCCATGTTTGCTATGAACATGTAAGTCTCACTCCAGACTGCAGACTCCATTGTACCCTAACATAGCTTTTTCTACCACAGAGTTGCAGCTTTAACTTGAATTTCAAAAACAAGCATTTAGTTTCTAAGCGCTTACAAAGGCCTGAATCATGGAGTCAGCCCTCCCAGCAGAAAAGCGCTCAGAGACAGTGGTAAGACTTGTGTGCAGGTCTAAGATTATTGCTACTTTGGGTAAAGTACTTCTCCTTCAGCACTGTAAGCACACACACAGCTGTAATACATTAGAAAGAAGGAGAAAAAGCCTCTGTCCAAAGAGCTTATGTAGCCCAGTAAAACAGTAAATCGTTCAAGGAGCAAGAGGAGGTGATACTAATCACATCTGTCTCCTTCTCATCTTTGGTCCTTTGCTAATCATATTTATTTCCTGCCTTCTTGCAACAGTTTATTTTAGATACATTCTCTTTCTCTCTTCCTTCTCTTACTCTTCATGCCTTCTTTCATTCTGCTTTCTACAACCGCTCCGTTTCCTGAACCTTATCAGCTTCTTTATCACAGTTTGAAGACAGGAAAGTCTCCTTTCACTCAGGGAGGCAAGCACAGGAAATCCATACACTCCTTGGGTCACTTACTGAAGAAAGTAAGGGATCATCACACTCTGTTTTACAAAGCCAACAGAATAGGGCCTCATCAGCAGCTCCTTCTGTTTTTCAAATTCAAATAAAGAATAGTTAGGTCATGGCAATGATCCCATAGCAATGGCTCTGCTCCAGTGCTGGCAATCCCAAAGGCAGGAAAAATAAAAAAGATGTGGCAGAATATGAGAATAAATGGAGGCTTTAATATATATTAAGAAAAAGATAAGTTATCCAGTCTGGAGATTATTGGATTTGAGTATGTAAATTCTCCCTGTGTTGCAATGTCAAAAACATTCACCCTAGGCTCTTTGGAGCCAAATTGTTCCCCTGACAAAACCCTATGTACTTTTCAGCTGTCTTTCAGCTAGAAGTTTTCAGTCATATTCTTAATAAAAGCCAGTTCTGCTCAGCAGCTAAGTACAAACTGTTCAGGATATTTTTCTAAAATTGAGGAGAAAAGAGAATTTCCTTCCCTCTTTCAATGTATAATCCTGACCATAGGGACAGCGGGGAGACCTGGTAATCATCAGCACACTGGAGGAAAGATCAAGTAACAAGTCTACACAGTAAAACCTTGGTGAGGAAAATAGAGCTACTACTGACCATTAATTTGGCTGCATCCCTTGGGTACCTAATGCTGTTTTAGCACAGATAAACTTCCCATGCAGGGAATAAAATTGGGGTTACTGCAGAGTTTTAAAATAAAACTTCAAAAGCTTCTCTTCTCAGTAACAATAAGGAAAGGGACTGGTTACTCCTTTTTTAGGTGAATAAAAATAAAACCTTCAGCCTTGACTTTGTTCTGTGGGGACTATGGAGAGTTAACATATGACACTGCATAAAACCAAAGCAATGAAAACATAGGAGGCCATCCGTTCTTTTGTACCTTACGAGCGCTTTTCCACATGTGTTTCATGTACGCATAGGTCACTTGGGGATGTACTGTTGGCAGTGGGTGATCCAGTTGTCGAGATGGATCTACTCCCAAGAGCAGGACAAGCGTCTTATGGGCCAAAGCCTGGAGAAAGTGGCCAAGAGAAAAAGCCGGTTAGAACAAGTTCATTCTTACCTCTGTTTCAGATTCATCCCTGATCTGCCTGCCACTTAAACACACCTCTGACCCTCTGCAGAAAACACAGACATAGACAGGCCATATCTGGGGGCAGTAAAATAAGGCACGGTTGCCAAAGAGGCATAGATATTACAAGTGGCACACAGCAGGGCCTGCATATGGCTAGGAGCTGTTCTATGTCAAGAGAAGCATCTGTAAGAGTCCCGGTCTCCTGAAGAGTTTTGAGCCAGAAACCACTGTTTCACCGTCACCAAGACGAGATATGGTCAGTGACATGATTAGCAACACTTGCCTCCAAGAAACAGCTGCATAATGCCTGATTTGGGAAAGAAAAATGAGCTTGATAAACTCATTTCAATTCACAAGGGAGCAAGGATGTAAGAAGTCAACTACTTCTGCCACGATCTATTCTGAAAATCAGGAGAGCTCTCAAACAGCAGCCTCATCACCACCTTCTGGACATGTATGGTCTGCCATGTGGTATTCTTACGTCTCCTTGTTCTGAGTATTATATTCTCACTTCCAATAAATTCATTGCCAATAAAGAGTGGGAAGTCTGATTCAAGTATTTTTTCGTAATAAACGTTGTGGTGAATGTTCAAATAGGATTGTAAGGTTTCATGATACTAACGTAACACTCTACATTGACAAAACGTGGCAATTATTGATAATAGTTGTCTCTGATAAAAGCAGTGCCACATGAGAACTTTCACGCATAGCATGCAACACAAAATTGGCTCCACGTCCCTCTCAGGTGTAATACTAACCAAACAGAAATAACGTTTGGCTGCAGGCACTTAACTCTACGGTGGTTACAGTTTCAGTAACTTCTGACCAGTCTCCTCTTCAGAGGAAAACCTATCCCATTCGGGCAAGAAAACTGGAAAAGCTTATGGTTAAAGTGGCATGACAAAGTCAGTTATCTATAAACCTGCTGTAGAGGGTAGAGGCTGACAATGCTTACCAGTCTCCCACTCTTCCCACACAAGCTGGCATACTTGAGCCAAGTTCTCATGTCCTCATGAGGATTCACAACAAGAGATCGGACCATCAGTATTCTTTGCCAGTCTTCCACAATCCGTTGACAACCCTGTGAGAAAAAAGCAGCAAAAACTTCAGTGTTTCATCTTCAATATACTCCCCACAGCCTTTAATTCAGAATCTGAAGGGACTTTTCCAAGATAGAGGGACTTCAGTACCCAAAATTCACAGCAGGTTGACATAAATAACTAGGTGGCTATTTCCTCCGCAGTGCTGTGCGTGGAAAAAGCCCCTGACCCTTACATTCCACAACCAAGACTGCATGAGAAGCTAGCTCAGCGCTCCCAGTCTAATGATATCCTCTAATGGAAAAAGGAGAAAAGCTTCTAAAGAAGAAACTCATCCAAAATCAGGGAAGCTATGCATGCAATTCCAAGGCCAGTCAAGAGTTTCATAACCCTTCCGAACCCACTTTTAAAGTCTATTTCTGGTTTAAACTGTGACAAGTCTCAGTATGGAAATGGCACAAAAACCAAACAGATTATCTTGTTATTGCCCTTCTTCTCTTTGCATGTTGCCATTACAGAAGCTGGCATAACTGGACCGACATTCTGCCAGAAACTGCAGTCCCAGCTGCAAAGCTGCTTGTGCAAGCACTGTTTGGTTATTGTCTGCCTGAAGGGAGAGCCACAGCAACACAGTCAGTCAGAGCAGGATTTGAGTCTGCACTTGGATGGTTCAAGGACGCTAGGAAGAACTAGAACCGTGGATGGGGTGGACACATCCAGACGCAGGGTGCTTGTTGCAACGACAAAGTCTTTCAGGGTAACAGTGATGCTCTGAAGTAAGTATCATCCAAAAATGGCTTAGATGATTTAGTTTGGAAGTAAACAGAGGACTGCCCAATGGCAACAAGCATCTTAACACCAAACCATCTATTTCTTTTCTATTTTTTCCCCCCCCTTTTTTTTTCCCTTCACAAAATTGAGGGCAGGGTAGTTAGGCGAAGTTTCTTCTCTGACACTGAAACAAACATTCAACATGTTCATCCAACAGGCATTCTATAATGATTAAAAAGAAGCTATAAAATGTGCAAGAACTGTATGTACTGCTTTCAGGACCATAAACAGCTGTATTCAGACATTACGCTTCCTGTCACTCTGTCTCCCCACCCCAGTGGAATGCTCCTGAGCTTTTCCAGACAGGAATGCAGTTGTGAGACTAAAACCTTTGTCACAGTTTCCCAAACAGTTGAAAAATATACAGCAGCAATCACCTTTCTTAAGGAGGCACATACAGCAGTGACAGGGAAAAACATTGCACGGAGAGGGATTCTTCCTCCCAGCAGCATATCAAAATTCAGCATAATTTGAACATTTGTTCCTGTAAGTACTTCTTCATATAATGACATTCACTTTCAGTGAAGGGATCCTTCCTGGAAGGAAATCATCTCAAAATATTTGACTGATTTAAAGTCAAATTTACAGGTGCTTTGGGTTTGTGCCGTTCAGGGTAAGAACGGCGGAAACTTCTCTTTAAATACAAGAGAAACAGTTTCGCTAAAGGGCATTAAAAAGAGGACAAGGATAATCGGTGGGAAATACTCTTGTACCAGGCCAAAAAGGAACAGGACAGTCTTTTACAAGTACATGAATTCTGCTTCCAGCTTTCCAGCATTATGAGAGAATTCAATTGTCTTTAAAATGCAGCCAGTCAGTTAACTAGTTGAAACTAGCCTTATCCAAGCCAGCATTTTCAGGTGATATCCAACACAGAGAAGCAGCCTTGGAGATGTTACTTGCATCTCCATCCCACACTCATCTATTTCAAGGCTTAAAACACCCTACTGAGGTTCCAGGGACACCACTTCAAAAAAAGAAAACAAAAGAAACCCCACAACCCCCAGAACTAGGACAAATGCAACGGAGACAGAAAACCTGCAATCATGTAGGCATAGATACTGTTGGGATAGAGAGAGAAAGAGAGAGAAAAATCTGCTGAGCCATCACACTGCAACTTGAAAGGAAGCTGTTTGTGCTCAGCACATATTATTTACATCCTTAGTCTTTGCGTAGATGTACCTGCAGTCTTTCCCACCATATCTGGCGGATGATCTCGCGGCGTTCTGGCACAAGTTTATACTGGATAACCTCTTCCAGCTCTGACAGCATCTGGCAGGATACCATAGCCTAAAGGAAACAATCACATTCCATCTCAACCATTACAAAACACATCTAGAATTAAGAAGCAATACTTTGGCATCAAAATCTTAAGTATACGGTGCCCAACAGGTAAAGGACAGAATGCCATATACCAGTACCTAGATGACCTACCAACCTAAACTTTCCAAATGACAATTCTGATTTCTTTTGAGGGGTAGAGCTCATTCTGGAGTTTAATTTGTCCCTAAGCTGTTCCTACAAAGTTATACTCGTCATCTAACAAGAGTTATTTAGCTTGTGGGCCTAAACATGTCTTCTAATCGATACAAACACTATTAGGACATTTTAAGCAACTTCTAAAAGTAGTCTGAAGCAGCAATGAGGAGAACGAAGGCTGAGAGTTAGACACTTACCCCATAGGCTCGACTGTAGCTCTCTCCTGCCATGGCAGTCAGCTCAGCATCTAGCAGATCTCTGGCCTTGTCAATGCACTGAAACAAAAAGATTTTTAGGGGTGGAGGGAGGTGTTTTGTCCAGAGAGAGTCAACTGCTCAGACTGCTATTCATCTGTTCCACCTCACAAACAAAGCTGGCATTATCTCTGTTCTTCAGGGAGGATCAGGAATGGATGTTATCCAGTGGAAAAAAAAATCCACAGGAAAGGAGAGTGTCAAGTAGCAGGGACAGCGGAAGTCAAGGGAGTTTCATTTATTATCTAAGCAGTATGTACAGTTTGTCTTTCTACCAAATACAAGTTTGCAATACTTCGGACCCTAAGTGCCGTTGCAGAGATCATCAGCATTAACATTTACAGAGGAAAAGAAAAGCTGACATTTTAGAACAAGAGAGTCAGTTACAAGAAAGCCTTAAGAAATGTCTCTCCAAAAATATACTACAATGACCCAAAATGGGTTTCACTGTTTTATGTGGCCCAGCAGGATTTTATGAATTTTACAGGACCTGCAAATGCCATTTCTCTCTCTGCAAATACAGCATGCTCTGGAGGCATGAAATAAGGTCCTGCTCTGGTTCCAGTCGTTCTATGTCTCATCTGTAGTTTTTTCTGTTCAAAACGTTAAAGGTTAATCCCAAACTCTAGTCCCTTGAACGCCTGGCTTATTTTATTGTGCACATCACTCAAAAAAATCTATGTACGGGTTGTGACAGAGCAGACTGTATTACTCCTTTATCTAAGCTGGCACGTCAGCAGAGAATTCTGAGAAATGGTACTTGAGCTTTCCTGGAAAGTAAACAATGTGCTTCAAATCTACAGAGGGGAAAAAGTCTGTCTGCAAACCTCCTCCGTATCAGACATATGCATACCAATATGGCTCTGCTTAATGAACTTGTTAATGGACTTGCTCCTTGCCTTGAGGTCTCTCTTCTGATTTAAGTTTTATCACTGCTACCAGAAAAATTAGAGTAAAAGTTCTCGTACATGATATATATGAGCCCCTCACTAAAAAGCTGCAACAGACACAGATGTGCACGGAACAGCCATGGAACATTTTGCGTGTCTTATGCCATTAATGCTTTCCATCAAGTAGTGTTTTGCAGAACGATATTCCCGCTGGGATGTTCTGTGCACCTTTTGTCTGCCAAACAGACATAAAAATACAGAAGCCTAAGTATGACTAAGGCTCTCTGCGCTCTACAGCTCTGGGCCAGTACTATCTGTACAGATATTCACTGCTGTCTCTCTAGAAACACAAGAGCTCAGAAGAGCTTCTAGAAATACAAGCTCAGCCATCTAGGTCTAATATGTCAATGGAAAGGAGGTTATCAGGCAATTCACAGCTTATGGTCAACTGCTTTAAAATGGCATGCCTCTCCATAAGCAGTGGGGTAGCTTAGCTCATCTTAAATTCGGTTTTTGGGAAGCCAGCAAAGAAGATAGCTACCTGCTGAGCCAATGAGAAAAGGTCTTGATGAAGAGCCAGCACAGCCCTGTAGAAGGCCCCATCGTGGGTGTCCCTTGGGATCATGCAAGTATATTCTTCCATGCTATCCCACTGACCTGCAGAGAAACAGATACCTTCAGCAATATAACAGCCCTCTCTGCAAGATAAGAACAAAACTATATAAGCAACTAGGCCTGAATTCAGTACAGCACCGGGTTCCTCTATAGGCTCCCTCTACATATAGTATCTGAATAGAAAACTGATTCCTCTTTGAGCCAATTCAATATGATCTTTTAAAATAAAACAAACCCTACTTCAAGACTGATTTCAGAAGATACTTCAGTTAGTATTGCATGATTAGGTACACTCATTATGGAGCTTCTAGCATTTTTGTAGTTCTGAAGTAAGTTAAAAGTATTTCGGCTTCCACAGTGTTGGCTGTCATACGCTATCATACAAGCACGGCTGGAAGGATACGTTACCTAGACCCCAGGCAGCGGCAGCAGCCATCCTAGCCATCTTAGCTTGAGTTTCATCATTGACCTGTGTCCACTTTTCACAGCATTGCTGGTGGAGCTGCCCCCTATGAAGAACCAACAATTTCTGATCAGTGAAAGTCTTCTAAGAATTTTGCTTTGTTTGATAGCCACTTTTTACAGGTAGGAAAAAAAACACAAAACAGAACAAACAAACAACAACAAAAACCCACACAGCCCCTGGGATTCACCTCTTCTCCTCTGGCCAGCTCAGATACATGCTGGTCTGGTGACAAATCACCTGTCAGAAAAGAATTTAAAACACGCTATGCTTGAAAACACATGTCCAGACAAAAGTTTGCATTTCTTCCCCAGCAGTTAGTAAGACCTATTTTAACAATTGAGCTGTCAACTCCAGCCTACAAATCCAGGAAAAAAAAAAAAAAAAGAATCTGAGGAAAAAATTCCCAAAACAAAACCACCAAACAAAGGACATTTATTAGCAAGCGTCAATACAAGCAATGTATAATCTGAATAGTTTGTGTGTGGCTCCCACTATCAAACATTTTGGATATACACACCATCAAGTTTGAAGACAGAAACGACAGTATCAGTGCTGCAGTAACCTAGTATGAAAACTTGTCATGGCAGGATTTCAGAGGGGACTCTCCCAATCTTTCATCTCCAGCGGAGAGGAAATGTCAGGATGTTTTATATTATTTCTTTTAAATCAACTATGAACGCTCTGTTGATCAAACCAATTTTTCTGGGTGTTGCAGTTTCAGAATTTCTCAGGCTGGATACTCTGTAGCAATGGAGTAGCTGCCAACTGTAAGGGAGTCCAGCTTGCCTTCTTACTGTCATTCTCTCCTCCCAGAAAGGAAGATGAATTAGAGAACGGATGGGCTGCCACAGGCAAGACAGTCATTCTGACAGCTTAATGGCCCAGGAGAAAAAACAAATGGAAAACCAAACCAAAACAACCAACAGCAGTAAATCAAGACCTAGTAGATGCTAACGAAGAAGAACGGCTCTTGTGGACATAACTACACGAGGAGACAAACAGCTAAGAATATTTTGGCTGTACTTTCAAAATGTCACTGCACAGAGTGCTGAAATAACGATGCTGTGTAGCATCGGTTCTACAGGAACTGTCATACGCTGCCAAGCAGACTCAAGCAGCACAAATAGTCAAGTTCAACGCTACTGAAGACAGCAGCGGCCAAATCAGATGAAGGGAATCCTCAGTCTTGGGATGATGTCTCTCTAGTCAGCTGGGAGGGAAGAGAGAGCACTTTGCAGTGGCACTTCTGAGTTGTAAAAAGCATCTGAATACAGATGGGCTATAAGCAGAAGGGAGTGCAGTTCTACAGCGGAACATACACAGATCCTTGTAAGCCTGTCTCTAAGAATATGCTTATGTTTGTGTCTGTTTTTTTGCCCTAATCCCTTTAATTCCCGCATTTCAACTCTGCAGTCTCCTAAACCAAACTGATGTTTAATTTCCCTTTTAAGATCTGTAAATATCAAACATATCCCTGTAAATATATCCCTGTAAATTATCCCTGTAACTGTCAAACATATTTACTTCACTAATCACATCTGAATACTACACGTAATTTCAGACTCTCGGGCAGGTTCTGGAATCTCTCTGCCATATTCAATATACAGGTAACACCACAGAAGGCATAAAGATGTTCCTTGCTTTTTTAAAGATTTCATTTTTTCAAATGTTGCAGGGAAAACAAAAAAAAAAAATCAGGTTCTTTCTGAACACTTCCAGTCACCTCCTGCATCACAAATTTAGCATTAAGGTCTTCAAATTTTAGGCTCAATTTTTTTGACACACCTCACTGTCTTTCAGACCCTTCTGCTAAAAATGAACCACAAAAACAGGTGAGAATGCCAGAGAAAGCCCCATCAGAAAGGAAGGAAAATAAAAATTCCAGCAAGGCAGTTTGTACAACATACAGGCCAAAAGACATCAGAGAGTAGCACTTCTTTTTCTCCTGTAAGAACACGCATTATCTGGACACAGAAATTCTCTCTTTTACGTCAGAAAAAGATTGACTGCAAGCCAAAGCATTGGGATTGTCCTCATCACTACAGATTGCCAATAGATACACAGTACCTAGCTCCAAAATAAGAACAAAGTCCTTCTGTAATATGTTTATCACTAAAATGTGAGGAAGCAGATGGTTCAGAGAAGATGCTTTAAACAAACACTTGTCCTGCAGGAGGAAGGAATTCCATAAACCCCTGGTGGGAACTGGCTACTACTTAGAAAAAAAGATTGAGAAACTGTCCGGTAAGAGATTCTATATTTCTTACTAAATGTGTATATATCTCTGTGTGTGTGTGTGTGTGTGTGTGTATAAAAACACAACTTGCATCTTCCTCCTGCCCAGTCTAAAACAAAAAGGAGGTAGAAAAATGCTGTGAGAATTTAGGTTTTTCGAACAGCTCTGTTTCTCCAGCAGCTCTAGCAGTAAAACAAACTTTGTAGAGAGGAGTCTCCTTCCTGTGTGTCATCCTGTGGGTTCACGTCAGGACGCATCAGCAGAGAGCTCTAGTGAAACGGAAAGCTCAGCAGAAAGGCGGGGCCCGAACCAAATCACTTATGCCCCTGGGTATAACTGCATACTACAGCCCCCAAGACACGTCTTCTCCAATTATTCTCTTTGGATCGAGGTGAGCAGGGAGAAAAACAGAGGCTCCTAGTTAACTAGCAAGTTGCAAGTCATTACTAGCTCTTCCTCTCACGAAAACCAACTCTATAATCAGTTAGATGTTGACAGTACAGATTTAACACAGGGTTTGAAATACCAAACGTCCACAAAGGCAACACTTAATGGATGCTAACAAAGAACAATAACGAAAGAAATTAAGATGTCTGAAAGAGACTTGGCAAAAAAGGGTTTTAAAATGGGAGCAGTTTGTTTGGCATAACCTTACCAAGATGATTACTGAGAAGCAGGCAATTGTGCTAACAGGTGTGCAAAAGACTGCACATTCTTGATAAGCACAAGTCCAATCATGAGCAAAAACAGACATCTCTCATAATTTAATCATGGAGATAAAAGGAGCTCATCATGGTCCTTTTTTTTAATGCTTGCTTTCGACAAGCACTGCCCAGTTAACGTTTCCTGAGAGGTCCTCTCTGTTCATAATTTCTTCCTCCATCACAAATGGGGTTGATCTGATCGTTAGGCTACAGAGTCCCTTTCAGATATATCTTATCAGATGACCCTTCCCAAAAAAGCCTAGAAATCTAATTTCCAATGCTGACTCTGATGAATAAAGTGAGGAAGCACTAGAAAACCTCTAACGTTAGGTTAGCAGGAGTAAATAGGAATTCAGGTAAAAATTTCACCTGGATGATAGCATCCAGAAAAGAGTTAGGCACCATTTTTAAAGTAGAATAACTAGCTGTTATTTCTGAAACAAGAGAAAATTTATAAAACAGAAAGACAGGAGCAGGTAGCAGATGACCTGATTTGGCACAGACTGCTTGATATAACTGGTCTTCTCTCGATCTTTAGCTATTCCTTTCTTACCATTCACCAAGTGCTTCCAAGCAACGCATCCGTCCCAGCATCAGCTCAGGATCATCCTTGTTTGTGTCCATCTTCTTGTCATAGGCCACCAGAGCATCTTCCCATTCATGGAGCTTTTCATACCAGGTAGCTTGAATTTCCTGGGGGATAGAGAAAAAACAGAAGAAATAGCAGGATTAATATTCACCATTCCATTGCAACTCCTGCAGCTTTTCCTGGAACATCCAATGTCTGCGCTGGTTATCCAGCCCTTTGTTCATTCTAAATAACCTCACAGACTTCTGTGATACAGAGAAAGACTTCAAGCTAGTGAGAAAACATGAATCCTGAGCATTGCTCAACCTGCACAGAAACAAACTCAGGTTTAGCAGAAGGATGAATTCCTTATCATCTCCCTATTCACTGCCACTGAAAGACAGCTGGGCTGTATCAAGTTTTTTGGGTTTTGTTTCAAGGTTTTGGTGTGCAGGAAGGAAGGAAAGTAAATCTATAAAGTACTGCACTTGCCATAATTGCACATGCTTGTCCTTTAAACAAGGACAGCAGTCCTGTGTTCAGGAATGAAGAAACTAAACGAAAAAGACTAACAACAAAGAGTGTATCAGGCTACTGCTAGGCCATTTTTCAATACAGCAAATGTATGATATTGGGGTCTAATCACAACCCTTACAGGGAAAGACCGTGGTTGGTAACATATGCTCTAAAAATAAGTCAAATGCTCCTTACCAGCTGCACAAAACCTTTATCCAGCCTCCCATTTCTAGATTTTATTTCTAATTTTCAAGAAATAAAATGCTTTGAATCTTTGGTATTTTTTCCGTACTGATCTCTGCCAATGTTTCCTCTGCTCAGACCTTGGGAGCTCATGTCTTGACATATGCTGCAAAATAGATTCTTTTCCCAGCCCTGTGGGCAGGGTCAGTATAAACCATGCTCTGTACATCACAGTCTTCCACTTGGGACATTTATACACTAGTCCTTTAACTTCTCAGCTCAGTCATATTCCAAGTAGATTCCTGAATGCAGTGCTCACAGTTCCTCTTAATTTATTTTCATTGCTTTTTCTGGCAAACTCTACATTTAGAACCACGTTACTGTTAAAGAGCGAGATTGGAATTAGGTAACGTGGAGCTCTGTTCAATCCACCCCAGGAATCACAAGCAACTGCAAAGATGTTCTGACTCATTGTTACTCCCCAAAGGACCTCTCTTCTAGTGTTATAGTTCTAATAAAAAAAAAAAATAAATAAAGAAGTTTCTGTTGTTAAACGCTTAAGAGTCACTTAGAGGAGCTATCAAGTGCAACATCACCTCAGTTTTCCTTAGTTTGCACTATCCCTGGGAAAACGGTATGGTTCGCATTATTTATCTTGATCCGCCCTTTCAAACCTGAAGAGTTTCCTCCAGTGCAGATACTGAGTACAGTGAGAGTTTAGGCTGTAGCGCCATTGGTCTTCTGGCCTGTATGTCGTGTGGTATCACTGGTCAGTCACTCATACTACAACAGTCAGAACACACCACTGAACTGCTAGATTATCCCTCTCTTCACCTGAACTGAGCTCGCTCTCTCTCTACGTGGGACACAGCAGTTACTTACACGGGGCATAAGCACAGTAAAATTTCACAAGTGCTTAGAATAACACATGAAGAGAAATCAGCTTCGTATTTTAGAGCGGAGAACAAAAATAGGAATGCAAGATGTATACCCACAGGGGGAAACCACGAGACATGGAGAAGAGAACTATCCAGCAGGACTCACCAGCTCCCCAAAGTGCTTCATGGCATATTCTAGTACTCCAGCAGCTGCTTCTGGCTGTTGCAGTTTATTGTTAATGCTGAAGAGATGGGAAGAAAGAGACCATTTAACACAGTTAGCAGCAGTTAGGGGTGAGTATGGACTTTGACTTAATGATACCAAGCTGTATCAGCTAAAAACAGTGATCTCTGAAGCTTTGAAGTGAATAATTAGACTACGTAAGGGGCACAACAGCTACATATTTACAAGACAAAAGATGCACATATGTTCTCTGTGCATATTCTTAAGACCTGTTATGTAAAACAGTGAGTATATATCACTATCAAATCTAAAGAGCAGCCTGCACAGGGAAGAAAAAACAGTTGCCAGTAGTTTGTGAGCTGAAATTCTCTCAATTGCTCTCCACCAGGTACGTCCTTGACAAGTTACCAGCTCATTCATCGTGGCCTTTGCCCCCTACTCTCTTTCCATTCTGCTTCCGGAGAAGTACTTGCTGGCTGATCTCTGCTTTTCTTTTTAAATAGAAGGAGAAGCCAAAATGATTCCTGATCTACAGAACCAGACAAACTACCTTTACAACGTCAGGCATTTTTCACTGGGCAAGAGCATGAAAAAATATTGCAAGTAAAACGTGTAAGTCTCCTTATCACATGTGATGTGCTCACTACAGCCCCTTGCAGAATTGCCTGAAAGTTTTATAGTAACTTGATACTTTAGATTAACTTTTCAACAATTGATAAAAGGCACCTGAAATAGGTAAAAACAGAGAAACAAAAGACAAAAGATCATGCAGCAGAAGCTAAGGCTGCGCTTGAGACTTCTGGGATTTCTTGTGTGAATAAGAATTTATTCTACATGCGTATTACCAGAAGACATGCTTAAGCAAAAATCTTTTTTTTTTAGCTTTAGTTTACCCTTGTTACTGACTTTGGATCTAGGAAGCCAGTTAAGAACTGGATCACTAACGTTGCATGCTGAGAATAAAACCGAATTGCAGGGCATTTTCTGACTACTGATCCAGTAGATTGCCACTTGGAATCACCACAAAAATTGTGATATGAGGCCTTCTCTCCAGTATTCAGATTCCCTTTTGGAAGTACTTGTGTAGAACAGCAATCCACTTCAGCTTTCTATTCATATGACAAGCAAGAGGCTATCCCAGCAACGCACAGCTGTGGCACATTTATCTCTTCGGAGAAAGGGCATATGAATTGTTGATGCTCAAGGTGTATGTGTTGCTAAATCAGTGCCAGTGGAAGCTTAGCTACAGAAGAGAGGCTCTTCTGTTTGTACAGACACACTAACAACTCTTCCGGAAAGGGTTTTTCTGATCTTTTGGTTCTTCTAATTCCCTGGCCACCCTTTTTTTCGACTTTACTGCCATTAGATTCAAGTATTCAAATGAGATTTAGCACAGAGATCAGAAAGAGACTTGAACAAAAAGCTAAGAACACACTGCAATCACCACTTCCAAAATGCAGGCAACCAAAAATGGGAAGCACTTGGAATACATCCATGCTGTTTTTCCGGCAAGATAGTCAAGGAACTTACTACCTCCACACTTCCCAAACAGCAGCTAGACAGCAGTGCCTTATAAAAGTGATAAATGGCTGTTACTTTCCATATCTTGATGATTTAAAGAGCCATTGGCAGACACATCACTTCCAGCATGTCAGACAGTTAATTACTTCCAACATATCTTTCTTGTCAACGTTTCCTGACAAATGGGCCATTATCTTCTATTCTTAAACAATTAGCACTGCTCTTTTGCTGATGCTCCCTGGTGCACTCAATTTCTCTTTTTTTTTTGAGAGGGGGGGGGGGGGGGGGGGGGGGGGGGAGATAAGACCTTGATTCAGAAGACGCCATGCAGTAGATGTAGCATTGTGTTGCCATTATCCACCATAAAGAACTCTCTCGTATTAAATAATCTAGCCCACACAGCATGCAGAGATTAAGCTAGCTAGTTTTGTGGACCTGTCAATCTTTGAGTCCTCCATGCAAATATGCCAGAGGTGATTTGAGAAGACATTTGTCTTAGTAGTCTACATCAGAAGCTCATCTTACCACATCAGCTCTTCTAAACATAAAAAGGTAAACTGATTCCAAATCTCTTTGGATAAATAAGGGGAACGGTCACACAACAGAGCAGAAAATAATTTTTCATCAGTATTGACTCGCCCACTTTTTTTTTTTTTTTTTTAAATGGAGAAGCACCTCTTCCCATCTGCTTCCCAATTCATTCATGCAAGCTACCATACTCACACATACACACCAAGAGGGACTTGGAGGAGGCTTTGAAGCCTGTGAACAACCTGTTGCCTGTAATCAGTTCAGACAGAATGAAGAGGGAGGTGTGAAAAGCAGGATAAAGGGTTGCCTGTGAGAAGATGACAGAGCTGGCACCCCTCTTTAGACTGTGCTAACTCCTTTGGAAGTTAGACTTTAGACTCCTTTGGAAGGCGGCTCCAAAGACAGAATAAATATTTACTGATTTCCAATTAAGTGTTAAAAACATAAAGCTGTTTTTATGTATAAACCAGAAGATTCAAACACAAAATCCTCAAGTTACGAAAAAGAAACCAGCCAGTGACTGGGAAATCCCCTGTGAATCATTTAACCTTCTGATTTAGCAAATTAAAAGTGTGCTTACACAAAACAAAAACAAACAAACACACACAAGACCACACACACACAACATTCACTGCTTTGGCAGAAACGGACCTAAACACAAAAATCCCTCCAAAGCAAAGCTCATGGATCAAAGTCACCTTTATTAATACAGCAGAACATTCATTGGCTTACTTCTGAGTACCAAAATCTTGGTAATCACTGCATCATTCAGCTATTCAAATCTACAGGCTGTGGGAAATGCAATTAATTGCATGCAGGTCAGTTAAGTTCTGACCTTGACTTTTTTTTATTCCCTAAGAAGTGGGATTTCTGCTTTCTCTCATCTGCCGGATTCAGCTTTGTACTCGCTGATCGCTGGAGGTGTATCGATAGCTCCAGAAATCACTACCTCCACAGCTGGCTGGGACGGGTTTTCAACAGACCCGCAACTCTCTGGGTACAGGCTCCTTGCTACGAGCGGGCCTGCAGATCGCACTTCCCTCGGGACAGCATTTCCGAAGGGAGCCCCGTCAACCCACTGGGAATACGTGCTTCCGAACCCTACCCTTTCGCGCTTCCCTCCCCTTGCAGCTTCCGAAGGTTAAAGCCTTGCCCCTGCTCTGAAGAGGCCTTGTCCTCAGGCACAATCTTCTTAAATCCTGTAACATTCTTACCGAATGACAAAGCTGTTTTCTAGTTATTGTGCTGGAGACGGGACAGAACGAACAACATTACAGAAAAGCGTCCAGCACACAGAGGCAGCCCCGCGGGACTAATATTCCAGCCAGGCAGAGTTGCCAATGGGTTTCAGTCACGTTGCTGCTGCTGGGAATCATGGATTAGGATCAGGGGGATGTAGTCTCCTATCTGGAAAAGGATAACCACAATTTCGATTAGAGGAGAAAGTGGGAAAATAGCTCCCAAGACACAAGCAGTGCTGCTGGCCAACCCAGCAGACAGTTACTTAAGTCTTTCTTTACTGGATGGTGTCATGGCAGTTGTTCCTAATTCAAGATATGAGGGTTGTCATTAAGACACGGATGATCAGTTTTTCTCCCGTACCCCCTAGGGTAGAGCGGATTCATCTGTATCAAAGAATCTTTGTTTAGAAGCTAGCAAACAAACGCTACCACCACCTCTGCTCCAAGCGCGTAGGCTCTGCAGCAGGCCGTGAAGGAATCCCCTTTGCTGGAAGTTTGTAGGTATAGGTTTGACAGATCGAGTTGATCTTTCAGGGATGGCCTGAGTATACAGCTATATAGTGCCCGGTAGGGACTGGCAGAGTCTTCCAGTATTGCATTCTTGTAAGTTACCAATTAGGCAGATGTGTGTTGATACTGAAGACAAAAAAGCCTAAATCTATGCTTACTGTGCATATACTTATACTCAGTGGCACATTTAACATTATATAGGATTTGTGATATTTAAAGCACTGCTTTTTATCTCCAGAATTAAAAGAATACACAGCAAGCTGCTTCCAGTTGGTTAAAATTAGAAAGAAAATTCCATCAGAAACATCCAGCAGTTTCTAGTTGATATTGGTTATGCAGTGCACAGGCCTCACACTTCTGCCTTTCCCCTAGTATTCCCTGAATGCCTTTTGCTAGATGGAAAAGTGACATCTTCAGTGCACTTCAACAGTATCTATTTACCACATTGAAATTATTTTCATGAGACTTTGAAATTCTTCTATAAGGCACGCTATTTGGGCCTGGACAGCAACTGCCTTCCTCCTTCCAGAAAGCTGCCAGGAAAGATAAGTTACTTGTGAATCTGAAGTGAAGCTCTCAACTGAAATATTTCAAAGCCAAATCTCTTAAATGTCATATGTATATGTAGATAAATCTTTTAAATAAAGCAGGAGCCATCTGCATTGCTTGCTTAATTAGATGCATCAGAACAGAAAGATGAAAGCAAGCTACACGCACTGGGAGTCAAGGGAGACAGCGGGAGACTCCTGCAGCTCTTCCAAGACAGAGCTGTCCTCCTGTCTGCAGGCAGGCAATTAAAACGGCAGTCCGCAGCAGTAGCAAAACTGTCCAAGTCACAGCAATAAGATTTTGATATACTTTGAACACACACGCTAATTTTGCGGCTTAATACCTACCATCTGATTTCAGATTTTATGCAACAAAGTACTCAAACCCCCCCCCCCCCACAAAAAAAAAAACCCTAAAATATTATT